ACAAAGGGAGGAAGGGAATACAGAATAGGGAATACGGAATAGGGAATGTAGGGAATGCACATTGGCATTATCTGTGGGGGCTCAATGAAAGAAGTTCACAGCCACAGCCGAGTTCAGTTTATTGTGGGCACTCCACTCCGCTCTTTTCGAGTCGCTCTGTGAAAGGTTAAATTGTCTTTAATTCATCTGCGAATTCTTCTTCGTCTGCGGAGGCTGAGCAGAAGTGGCTGCAAATGGGAGGGAATGAGGCTGTAGAATGCCCCGATGGGATCGTATAAATTGATAATGAAATCAATAAATTGATTTGATTTTTCACAGATTTCCAATTGATTTATGTGAGAGCGCACAATTGTCTGAATCTGGTGTACATAGTGTGTGATGATCACAAGGCAATCGCGTTTTTTTTAGTATAAACAAAAATATTATTCCGAGCGGAATGGAATTAATCATCGTCCGGGTCGCGGGAGATAAGCCGAAACATTTCCTAAAACTAAACATTCCTGGAACATTTACTGATCCTAGACAACTTACCGCCGCAGCCAGGGCCAGTTCGCTCTGTCGCTGAAGCGTCAGCTTGCCCCGCACTATCCATCCGGTGGTGGGTGGCGCCTGGTGCCCCTCGTCCTGGGGCTTCGCACCCACCAGGACATTGCCCACGTACTCGTAAAGCATCTGTTTGTTGAGGCCAATGATGCTAAAGGCATGGCCGGCGTCGAAGATCAGGAACAGATCTGCCGGATAGATATAGGGATAGATAGAATGGGAAATTGAACTTCAATTCATTGGATGCTCCACCGATCGCCCGACCGACCGCCTTCACCCTCTTTCGCTATGTCGCATTCCCGCGGATGGGCAATAAACTCTTCAATTATCAATTGAATTTCTTTCTTATATGTACTAAATGTGCATGTGTATATATAATATATATACACATATATGAATGATCGCAAAACGCTTTAATCAATGTTGCTCCTCGGAGGCTTTCTTGATGCGCGCTCGTCAATGAGTAATTACGTCATGGTCTTTTATTAGTTTCTGATACAGTTGGGATTATCAACTAGGTTACTCTACTCTCACGTACACACGATCACGGAGCACTTGAGTCGCCTCATGGCCTGCTGCTGCTTCCTTCCGAGGTCGTGGCACTCGTTTTATCACAGATTTCCCGACGCTTTTCACTTTTCACTTTGCGCAAAGACTCTGTATGGTAATATCAGCCAGTATATATATGAATATATATAATATATGTATTATCAGATATGTTTCAAAGAAGCCGACGCTTTTCCTCCTTTATCACCAACGCGTCTAATTCCCGGATCACAGCTCAACGTCTGCTCGGTTCGCGATCCAAACTCGGACTGAGACGGCGAGCGGACTTAACAGCCGGATGGTTGGCCTTGCTGGAGGTTCCGTTGATAAGCATCGATGCTGCGAAGAGCAGCTTCGTTCTCTTACGATCTGTTGAAGTGTCCTATAAATAGACATTTGCCGCGTCCATCAGCTCAATGTATCACTGATCAGAGGCCGTAAGAGAAATAGCGGTTTGTTGATAATCGAATCGGTTTTTTTGGCAAATTGGTCAAGGAAAGAGCTCCTAATAAATGTTCCTTGATATTTAAGATCTCAAAAAAATTCTTTAATTTAATAACTATTCTTCATAGTAAGAAAATAAATATTTTTAAATAATTTATTGTTTTCACCAAGAATCCCCAGTTCAATCAAGAGTCATTAAAAATACAGACTAGCAATACACAATGTTGCGCTATTTATTTGGTACCAGACACATTCAAAATTATGATTAGCAACACACTTTCGCTGCCACAGACTGTCTATAAAAATCTACGTTATTTATAAGTATAAGAGTAGCGTATAGGGTTACTTATAGACGAACTTAGACTTTGACGAATTGCTCATACGTATAACAATATACCACAAATCACATGGAATCAGGAATAACAAAAAGTATTTTGTGTCTCTCTTAAATCTAGCGTGCTCCCCCATGAGCATGTCCTGCTCTGAAGAGGGCTCCGGTCGTTCCAGCACCACTTGGACCAGCACCTCCTGCACCCCGTTTCTCCGATCCCGAGTCCGCACTAGCGTCTCCGTTGTCGGAGCCACTCTGCTCCGCATCCAGATTTTTCAGCTGCTGCTGCCACATATCCGCATAGATGCCACCATCCCGCAGGACAAGCTCTTCGTGCCTGCCCCGCTCTGCAATGCTTCCCTGCTGCAGCACCAGGATCTCGTCCGCGTGGATAACAGTGGACAGCCGATGGGCCACAATAATGGTGGTGCGATTGGCGCAAACTCTGGCCAAAGCAGCTTGAATGTTTCGCTCAGTGTGCGTGTCCAAAGCTGAGGTCGCTTCGTCCAGCAGCACAATGATGGGCGATTTGAGGAGCGTCCTGGCGATGGCCACTCGCTGCTTTTCGCCGCCACTAAGCCGGAGACCCCGCTCGCCCACCTTCGTCTCATAGCTGTCCGGGAAGCTGAGGATCCTTTCATGAATGTCGGCGGCGCGGGCAGCCTCATAGACGGCTTCATCGGAGGCGCCCAACTTGGCATACTCTATGTTGTAGAATATGGTGTTGTTGAACAGAACCGTATCCTGGGGCACCACTCCAATGGCCTTTCGCAGACTCTGCTGCTGCACCAGCTTGATGTTTTGTCCGTCGATCAGGATAGCTCCCGTCTGCACATCATAGAAACGGAAAAGCAGCCGCATGATGGTACTCTTGCCTGCCCCAGAGGGTCCCACAATGGCCACCGTCTTGCCGGCGGGCACAGTGAAGCTCACGTTTTGTAGCACTACCTTCTCCGGTGAATAGCCGAAGGTAACGTTAGAGAACTCAATGCCGCCGCCGGCTGTGAGGAGCGGCGAGCAGCCTGGAGCATCCACAATCTCTTCCTCCTCCTTCAGCAAATCAAACATGTTCTCCATGTCCACGAAGTTTTTCTGAATAGCCCGATAATAAGTGCCAAACCAATTGAGAGGCATATACAGCTCCATGAGGTATGTGGAGAAGAGCACGAAGTCGCCGACGGTGAGAGTTTGGTGATGTACCACCAAGTATACGCAGAGCAATGATCCGGTCAACAAGCCAAGACACAGGATTACATTCTGGGCGGTATTCAGTATGTTGAGAGTCAACATGGAGAGGAATTCCTCCTTTTGGTACTTCAGAATGGCCTCCCTGTAGCAGTCCACCTCGTAGTGCTCGGCTCCGTAGTACTTGACGGTTTCGAAGTTCAGTAGAGAGTCTACGCTGCGAGCACGCTGCTCATTGTCCGCCAGGTTCATCCTCCTCTGGTACTTGGTGCGCCACTCGGTTATTGCAATGGTAGAGGCTGTAAAATAAAAGGGTATGTTGATGTGTTTATTTACTATTTAAGAACTGTTCTGGTTTTCAGATATCAACGATAACGATTCGTCATAAAATTGCTTATCTGGCTTGCGATTTATAAAAAGATTTGCTTACGCATAAGAAACTCCGTATCTTATTGTTATTAATACGCATAAATGAAAACCGGAACCCCTTCTACAAATGATTATAAATAATTCGAATCCCTTACCTATATACAGGAACATGGTCAGGAAGACGATCAAGCCAAACCACCAGTTGAAAGCGTATATAAAGTAGGCCACTGCCACGAGCAGATCCAGAATGGTGGGTGCAATTGAGAAGACAATATAGTTGAGAAGATTGTTGATGGAATCCGTGCCGCGATCCATGACACGCAGCACCTCGCCCGTTTTCCGCTGCAAATGCCATCTCAGCGAGAGCTGGTGCAGATGCCGGAAGAGCTCGATCTCAATCTCCCGGGTCGTGTACTGCTGAACCCGTATCCAGAGGAAGGTGCGGAGGTTATTGAACAGACCCATGCCGCCAGTGCCGCCGCCCTGGAGGAAGGACAACCCAACGTAGACCAGCACAAAGTCCCAGCGGAAGAGGATTGGCGCAATGGTGAGACTGTCCACTGTAGAGACAGGAGATTAGCAATGAATTACTCAACTTAATGCCCCCACAAAACCCTGACCTACCCAACTTCTTGCGATAAATCGGCAAAAACAACTTTATGACTCGGCCGGCCAGCAGCAGTAAAATGCAAACGATGACGGCCATTTGCAGGGCCAGGTTCTTCCTGGGCCACAGGTAGGGAAACACGGTGCTCAGCTTGCGCCAGCCATTCCTGAAAGCCGAACCTGTCCGCACGTTTCCCTGCGATTCGCTGGAGGCATCGTTCTCAAGCCGCTGATGTGGATTGTAGGGGGCCATGATGCCAGGAGCCTTCAGACCCAAAACAAAGATGAGCAGTGAGCAGAGGAACCGGGTGACAAAGAGGCCCATCTCAATTTGATCCTTGTTTCTGAGGAAAGTGTTAGCTATACTATAGTTCGATGTTTTTCGTTATTAACTCAAGGAATTACGTTTTCAGATGGAACCACCAGTCCTCATGGCGCAGATTGATGAAGGCCAGCGACTCGTTGATGAAGGCCAGGGTCCAGAAAAGCAGCAGGATGAGACCATGACCACGGGTGGGCATCGAAGGCAGCTGGTAATATCGCTCCTTGAGTATCAGACAGATGCTGAACGGGTACGAAAAGCAGATAACGCAAGTGGAGAAGATCTGTGGATGGAGATGGGTCAGTTGTACGATTCCCCTGGAGATAATGATACTCACCATATACCCATAGACCGCACTATCCGGATAAATACGTGCGTTCATCAGGAATCGCAATGCAGCCAGGACCGGGAGCAGAAGCAAAAGGAAGAGCTGCAGGGCGAACAATCGGGACTTGGAGATTTGCGTGGGATCCGTTATCCGGGTGGCATACTTCCGGTACATAAGCAACTGGATGCAACCGAAGATCAGCAGGAAACCGCCGTAGACGGACGGACCCACGGTGTCCATGAAGCAGTGGGAGATGCCATGCTGCGTCCAGACCTCGCTTAGGGTCACGTTGGGCGGGCAGTACAACATGATGTATTCCGGGTTCCTGCCAGGCGACGAGGGAAAGCAAATTAATCAACGATAAGCTCTGATAGAAACGTGCCAGATAAAGTGGAGCTGTGACTGAAACAGCTCGGTGAGCACAATTGCTTTGTTTTATGGGGGTGTCGCAATTTCGCAATTATTCACCCGAATTATCAGACGCCCCCAAAAGGGAAACCACTCTATTTTTTCTGCCTCCAGGTAATCGGTGCGCAAAAACTGATGTATGATTATATTTTATTAAGAACTTTTACAGCACGGCACCAAGGGATTCGGTGTTGGGAGTGGGGTAGCCGAATAAATTGCAATTCATTCAGCCCATTGGATATGCTAAATTATGCAATGTTGCGTATGCTCGATGAAACAGTTTTAGAAACTATTTGCCCTCTTACCCGCTATGAAAGTCACGCACTGGAGTGAACACTGTAGTCAGTAATGTACCAGGTGATAACTCAATTAACGGAAAACTCGCGGACAACTCCGGCCCACTCAACGATCAACAAAAATAATCTTGGTCCAAGGGTTCAGTATGACTGTATGGGCTTATCCACAATATACCATTCTTTAGAGAGGAAAGCGGGTGAGTTTAAGCTCATTGATTGTTATTTTTATTATTTTCTCTACAACCTTTATGGATAATAATAATTTTAGGGAACTTTTAAAGAAGATGTTAATTTATGATATTTAATTATTTTTTTTTAATCTAAAATTGGTTTAATAGAGTGACTAGTAACATTTCTATTTCTATAAACGGTCACGCTACTTTCCACCCCTGATTTTCAGTTTGGCGCTCAACTTGATTTTTAAAACTGTGTTCCTATCGGTTGACCATTTCTTTACTCTCTTATATTTCAAAATTTATGTAATTTTACAATTATTTAAAAAACTTTTTTATTATTTCTTATTAAAGCTGTAACATTTGATATCATTACCAAACATATTTTAGTCACCCACATAATCCTTTTGAAAAAACACTTTTTGCATCTCAATTACATTGGAATATATTTAGTTCATATAGATTTCTTTATTCGTCAATTTTCAAAATAAATATTTATGTTCTTCTAATACTTTACATACAAGAAATTTTCACAAATGGTCTACGCTTATCTCTAGGTAATATCTACTCTAAACTAATTGTCTGAGTTTGGAGAGAATGAATATATTCAAAGCACAAGGAACAAATTGATTTGTAGTAAATTGCTATTTACATCGAGTGTTTTTTGTTTTTGAGGTTTGGTAACATGTAAAATTCGCTACTTATGATTAAGGGGAAAGGGAAAGGGTGGCTAAAAACTACGAAACATTTTAGAAGAGTTCCCGTACGAATTTCGAATTTGATTCGGTCGACTGTCGACTAACCACTAACTTGTTCAACTTGGGTTTAACTTATTATCACAAACAAGTACATTTAATGTGCATATGATTACAGTGGAGAGGGAGCCGACTCCCCCACATACAGCTATGAGTTGATCTTGGCCAGCAGCGGCTGGGTGACGGCACTGCCCGCCACCGGTGGGCACTGCTGCTTGTAGCTCTTCACCAGGAAGCCGTAGTGGTTGCTGTCCGCCGGAATGTTTGGGCCACTGCTGCTCCGCTGCGGACTGGCGGTCACCATCGGTGGAATCGGAGAAGGAGCGACAGGTGGCGCTGGTGAGGTGGTAGACTGGAGCAGGGGAGTCTCATCCCCTTCTGCGAACTTAATCCTCAGCTGGCCACTGCCCATGCTGCCGGTTTCGGGACCCGGAGAGGCATTCGCCTCACTCCGGGCGCTAGTCAGCAGCGTTGAGATCGTGGGCGAGGGCTTCAGCCGACTCCGTTGGCCACCACCACCCAGTGACGGTGGCTGCAGGATGCCGCTCAGATTGGAGCTGGAATTCGAGTGCACATAGCCGTGGCTATTGTTGTTGTTGAGGTGATGGTGGCTCTTGAGTGCTCCGCTCAGCGGCAGCCGAAAGTGGGCCAGTTCCCAGCTGTCGGAGGTCTCCTCCATGTCCCGCAGGCTCCGGCTGCTGTATATGTCGCAGGTTCGTTGGGCAGCCGCCGCATCCAAATAGAGGTTCTCAGTCTTGTGGTAGTCGAAGCCGCCGCCATTTAGCTTGGGCGAGCTGGAGCTGATCTTGCGTTTCACGCGGAGATTGGGCGAATCCTTGGACGGCGGCGGTGGCGGTGGCAGGGCGATTGTAGGTGGCGGTGGAGGCGAGGCCACCACCAATTCGGAGTACTGTTTGTGGAGGTGATGCGACTGGCTCCGCTGTGGCTGCCTCAGCGAGGAGCGGCGCGTGAGCATCAGCTTGCTGGGCGAGATCATGGAGTCGGGGCGGGGCACTTCGCCCTCCAGCCAGTAGGTGAGCATCTCACCCTTTCCCTTCATGGGCACAAAGCCCCTCCGAGTGGTCACAAAGGTGCCGAACTCATCCAGCGCCACCTTGGTGGTCTCACTGATGTGGATCTTTAGTGCCTCACCATTGGACTCCATCCGAGAGGCTGTGTTCACGGTATCTCCAAAGAGGCAGTAGCGTGGCATCTTCAGACCCACCACTCCGGCCACACAAGCTCCTGTGTGCAGGCCAATCCTCAGCTTCAGCCGATCCTCCGGTCGATGGTGGATCCGGAAGTTGTGTACCGCCTCCAGGAGGGCCAGTGCCAAACGGGCTATCTCCCGCGCATGCTGGTTCCCATTTCGTATAGGCAGACCGGACACAACCATGTACGCATCACCAATCGTCTCTACCTTATAGACATCGAAGTTCTCCACAATAGAATCGAAACAGGTGTACAGATCGTTGAGGAACTGCACCACCTGCATGGGCGTGCTCTCCGCCGAGATGGCCGTGAAGCCCACGATGTCACTGAAGTAGATCGTGACCTGGTCAAAGGTCTCCGCCACAACGGGCTGTCCGCTGATGAGCTGGGCGGCCACGCTCTGCGGGAGCAGTTGGTAGAGCAGCTTCTCGCACTTCTTCTTCTCCTCGTGGTAGTCCTGGGTACGCTCCTCCACCAGCTCCTCCAGATTGTTGGCGTACAGCTCCATGCGCTTTAGGAGATTATCCACAATGTTGCCCGTCTCGTTGTCCCTGCGATGGAAGCACAAGGGGGTTAAAAGAGAATGGTTATTAAACTATGAGTTCCTTACTTGTTAAACCGTCTTATCATAGATTTGAGGGTATTGAAGTCCGGACGCTCGGCAGGATCTTCAGCCCAGCAGCGACGTATGATGCCATTGATGTCCGCCTTGGTGTCACCATTGGGTTCTAGTTCCGGTCTGAATGGTTTCTGCATTCTCTGTGGGCTGTATCCTTTGACCAGTTCGATAATTTCTGTGCAGGAGAAAAAAGAAACCCTTGAATAAGACTTCGATTCTGAAATTAATTTGGTACAAGTTGGTTATGTAAATTTTTTGTGTTAAGTGTAGTTTTATGTCAACACCGGACTGGACCTATTGGCTAGACGGATTCTGCACACTGGACACTCAAACACTGGTGGCGAAATGTGCACCGGCAAGGAATATCTGGAACTGGTCAGCCTATTCGTGCAGGCCAAGCCCCCAAAACCCCGGGAGCTGAGGCCCTGCAACCAGCATGAGCTGCTCCTCCAACTCCTCTGCCGTCGCAGGGAGCTCACCAAGAACCAACTCGCGGATCTACTCTGGAACGTGACCAATGGGCCAAAGAAGAAGAACTTAAGGAGAAGGCAGTGCGGTGGAATGGACGGCCAGCAGTCGGAGCCCACCGATATCGAAGTAGTGTTCGGGTGCAGGGAGAAGACGCCACCATCCTCCATTTCGCAGCGAGGCTGGGGAAGATCACGCATCGAGTGGCTGCACAAGCTGGAGGCTCAGCAGATGCAATACTACCAGGCCTGGCAGGAGACCCCTAAAGTCCAGGCATGTTGCACACCTGGTGGCAAAAAGAACAAGGAATGCAAGGCACCCAGAAAATTGGACAAGGAAGGCAAAGACAGGAACAGGAACAGGAGGAAGCTGCCGGGCTGTTGGGCCCTGCTGCCATTCAGCTGTGGCTGGGACCTCGCACACGATTCCAGCTGCCAGGACGTGCCCCACCGCAAGCCGAGATGAGATGAGTTCGTGATTTGCCTTTTGGGCCGCCCAGACAAGGGGCACTATCAACTTTTTCGACCAGCCTGCACTTTGAATCCGATTTCCCAAGCACCGGGACCGCAATTAAATTCGTCTGCAGACACAACTCTCGACAAGTGCCGGTTGCTAGATGCCAAAGTTGCATTCTGCGGCTGAAGAGTGGCTTCGCCAAGAGGAGGACTCTGATTCGATTCCCTTAGCCCAGTCACGGCCTAATTTGATGAATTCGTCAAGTGCCAACTCGAGGACCAAGTTTTGGGCGCCAATTGAAATCGGCGAGATTCTCGAAGTTCGCCTTTAGTTCAAAAAGGCGCTGAGTGCATCAACTTTAAACAGCGGTTTACTACAGTAAAGAGGGATTTTCTTTTTATAGGGGAATGACCTTAGATTTCGAACGTTAAATTAAATCGATTGGCAAACCGAGAGCTAGTACTTTAATATATTTTAAATAATATAGAAAACGTTTTCCTATCTCTTTTAGAATTTTAAACAAACATGTTATATTGTATGCATGTGCTATTAAGGAAAATGCCCAACATTGCACAGAAGCTAAGTGATGGATTCCACTTGCAATGCTAATTTGGGCCTCCTCCCTTCCCACAGCCACAACCTTCACCACCATCACCACCAAACGAGTGGCCAACTGACGGACCGAATAACCGCAACATGTGCAAAAATCTGGCATTAAAATTCCACACAGACAAAATCGGCCGCAACACGAAAACGGCCAAGCGAAAGGATGGGAGAATTGAAGGTCCGAGGATGGGAAACACTGGCATAGCATACCTTGCGGCGACTTCTCGTACGCACACCTGCCCAGGTAAAAGGGTCCTTGTCGAGTGGTTATCTCGTGAACAATGATTCCGAAGGCGTAGACGTCGCCCTTCTGGGTTCCCTCGGGCGCTCTGTTGTGCTCCACTCTCAGCAGTTCGGGGGCGGTCCACAAGAGCTCTGCAGAAAGAAAAAATATTTCGTTGTATTTAATCATTATCAAAAATTCGGAAATGTATTTTTAAGAGTTTTAAAAAGGTATTCCTTACAGAAAAAATATATATTATACACTTTTAAATCAAGTATATTACAGAAAAAATAATGATGTTTAAGATTTAAAAAATGTATACCTTAAAAACATATTTAAAAAGTAATTCTTGATTTTTGTTTTTATTATAAAAGGATATCGTGATAAGCGTTATTTATATATAGAACCTAGAGGTTATTTAGTTAGGCTATGCTCTATTTCTTAATTAGAAATTGTTTTAAGTGCACTAAACTCGATTGCAAGCATTGAGTACTTACTGCTCCAGTAGGCGTGGCTGTTGCAGTTGCCCCCGTCGCTTTCCAGGTCGAATCTCGTCCGCCTCAGGGTGTGTAACCCAAAGTCGGTGATCTTAAGCACGAAGCGGGAGTCCACAACGCAGTTGGAGGACTTGAGGTTGCCGTGGGAGCGGATGTCGGAGCTGTGGAGGAACTGCATGCCGCGCACAATGTCATGCATGAGGGACAGGCGGAACATCCAGTCCAACTGGAACTGCTCGTTTTCGAGGATGTCCTGCAATGAACCCTTTGGACAATACTCGGTGAGCAGGAAGCTGCGTCGCTGGTCCAAGCAGGCACCATAGAACTTGACCAAGTGATCGTGCTGCAGGTCCTTCATCCGCTTCAGTTCCAACATTAGGCTGCGTGTTAGAATGGATTGGACATTGTCCACCTCTACCGGCTTGATGGCAACCTTGCTCTTGCGGAACATGCCCACGGGTATGAAGATCTGACGGTCACCGTTGATGGACACCATGTCCTCGGACATCAGAGTAAGCTGCGAGCTTTGCTTCACCAGCGAATGGAAGGAACCTCGAAGCCCACGCTCCGCTGCATCTCGGAACATAACATCCTCCAGCGACACCTTCCAGCTCATCGAGTTGATCTCCGCCTCGGCGATGTAGTGACGATAGCCGAAGAAGAAGCACACGGCCATTACAATTACCATGGTGCCCAGCACAATCGACAGGATCGCATAGCCGGGAAGTGCTAAGAGATGGGTTTACGGAAAAAATAATATTCATAAATGAAGACACAGCTTGCAAGATAGAAATTAATGATCTGAAGATAAAGTAGTTATTTTTCTAATATCTGCTCACATACCGAGTTTCATATCAATCGGATAAATATTTTAATTAAATTATATACATTTTTAAAAATACTTACAGTTATCGGGACAAAGAGCCCCATCGTAACCGCAAGTGGGTCGATCCGGTGGTGCCTCTTCGCGTTCGCCCGCCCAGTAGATCTCCTTGTTGGCCTCAAACTCCAGACGGTTGTGCAGAAAGTGGGCCACGATCTCGAACCTTCCGGTGGCGGGATTCATGTCCAGCAGCGAGTAGGCGGACAGTCGGTCACCATTCGCATCGATGGTCACGTTGCCAGTGATGCCGGTGAAGCTGCGGTTCCACATGCGTCTGACCATATCAGTGCCGTTGATGGGACGTGTCAGCATCGTTGGATCCTCCCGGATGCTCTCGTTCAGGGCATTGGCGTAGAGGAGGACTCCATCAAAAAAAGATGTGACAAATGCCGAAATCGGCTCGTTGTCGCTGAACGTGTAATTGTATTTCTCCGCGGCGATGGCTTTGATCTGTAAATGGCAACGGGCAAATCGCAACGCATTAATCTCTCTTCAGCTGGCAGTTAACTCCTTCAATGCTCCCCAATCCCCATCCCAATCCCTACTCTACACTTCGCCCAGGGACATAAATTCCTGCCCGCTTTCCCGTCGCTTTTCCTCTTTAATTGCTTTGGCCCCCGTGAAAATTCAATTACGCGTTCGCTCAATCGGAATGGAGAAAGGAAGGAAGACGACGACGGTGGGTCCTTGTCTAGGACGTTTTGTCACAATCCATGTGGAAGTTATTGCACACCGCACTCCAATGTGCCACTGGCGGATTTCTCTGGCCATTCTCCTTTGACAAGCGGCCATGCCGGGATTTGGAGCCGGAACTGCGGTTGCAAATGTCCATTGAGCGTAAGTGTGTCGCCAAGAAATCCGACAATTTAAGCTGCAATTCTTAAAGGCTGCCGATGGAAAATGTGGACAGATTGTAAGCCGGTTGGCCACCTGAATTCCGTCAGCGATTGGCAGTTGAATACACTCAAAGAACTTTGTTCTTTGTAAGTAATGAAAAATCTTTAAAAATATTAATCCTTGAAAATGATTAATTAATAATTAACTAATTAATATAAATATGCTTGTATGGAATATTTATTGAAAATGAAAATTCTATTTGTTACTTGTTGTACCACCCAAAGTGGAACATAATTGTTCAAGCTTTGAGAATATTTACTCAAGATGTTTCTCTTTTAAAAGAGTCAAAGTCTATAAATAACAAATAGCCTTTTAATAACGTGTTCTATATATATACTTCCAGGAATTTGCCTTCAAAAATATCTCATGTTTGTTCAGCAAATTTTGGAACAACATGGTGCTAATATGGCTAATACGATGTCAAACAGAGAAACATCATCAACATGTCGGTTGCATCTCATCCTCCCCTCTTTATAGACTAAGTATCTGCAAGATACGTGGAGAGCCAAGTGTCATTAGCCAGACGGCCTGCACTCTGAGGAATCCTCTTTAGAGCTGGCCACTTCCACACCCCCATAGATTCCAGCCCCATTTCCCCAGGCTGCTTATCAGCAAATGCAACAGAAAATGCATTCGGTTTTCAGGTGGCTTTGCCGGCTTTTCAAGGGCCCTTCGGGCTGAAGTTGGCCGGCCAAATGCTCTCAGGTGTTGTCGGTTTTGTTTGTTGCAAATTTACCAAGTATCAACAGAAAAATGTTTACCATCCCCGGGATCCTATCCCCTTGCTCATGCAAAATAGGCTGCGGTTGAGAGGGAACGTGCATTGGAATTGAGTATGCATGAGGCTGCCCAAAAAAAGGTGCAACAAGAGGGTAAAAACAAAAGAAATCTGCAAAAAATTTCAAATTGGCTTCCACATCCATTTCCATGCAAATGTAAAGGGAGCTTCCCAGCAGCAGCTTTTCCTGCTCCTTTTCCCAATCCCCTGACCACCACTCACCTCATTGGAGACCCGGGTGTACTCGTTGTCATTCGGCTGTTTGGGGGTTACGGTCAGCATGGCGGTGTAGGCCTTCTGGGCCCGCTCATTATTCAAATCCGTGTCGTTCTTATCGTACCAGGGCTGCGACGTCAGGTATTGAACCCTTCAGAAGGAAAATAATGACAAATTTAATCAGAATTACTGGATCAATATGCAAATATTTCAAGGGGTTAACATAGGGTTAGTATGTTGTAATCAGAAACCATTGATTTCTGTTTATTTTATCAGGAAATGCTATACATTGTATACATATATTATAAAGAAAATAAGGTTTAAAGTTTTCATTCAAAAAAAAAAGCAAATATATACGTAAATACACAGACTTTATAATCTGTACTGTCAATCTAAAAATGGAAAGATATATTATATAAACCACATAGTTCAGCCTTTTGTTATAATCTTTTTTCGATTAGTTACATTTTCGTATTCCTTTTTTTAAGTTTTAGCTTTTTTCTTATCAATCTCGTTTTGATTCGCCTTTGTGCCGCTTTTGGTTTAAGTTCATTACCAGCTATTGATATGCGTCATAAATTGTTTATAAATAGAAGTGTAAAGTGTGCGCTTCGACCACACACTTGCATTTGCTGGCACTTTTCAGTTTGATTCTATGTAAATGCATTTGGAATTCGTTAGCCCCTCCCCGAATGCATTTACCCTGTTATCATCTGGGGTACACATGTGTCCCACTCGCTTCAATGTTACTTAAAACTATTGATTATGGATTACACTATAGTTATCCGAGTAGAGCTCAAGAAATCCATGATAAGTTGGAGGATTTATGAATGGACTGCTTGAGGGTACAATAGAATATGCAAGAAAGCATTGATAGAACTTTCTAAATATTAACTAGATTTATTATTATGGATGGCGTATATCATACCATAATCAAAACAAATTGAAATATTAACTACCCCACAATGATAAATGACAGTCACAAATCATCGCAGAATATCAAAGGTATTCTAATAATAGGTTAATTATCTTTCAGTCTGTTTACTTATAGCTTTTTCAAGCAGGAAATTGATTAGCTAATCCAATGCATATACCGGCATTCACACACGCTTTGTAGGACTAGTATATAGATTAGTATATATATTAGTACATATACGCAGCATTTTTCCATTGATTGCGAGTGTCAGGAAGGTCGGGCGATTAGAATGCATTTAATGCACATGCAAATATAAGTCGAGTGCAATTAGATTCTTTGGAATATCAGAAACAAAATGATATTTCTTAGGTTTTTCCAGCTTTTCCTGGGATGAAACTATTTATTTGTAGGGGTTCAAAACAAAGAGCTGGCTAAAA